GGATTGCCCCAAGCCATGTGCAGGGCCTTGCACTTGGCCTTGTTGAACTTCGTGAGGTTCACATCGGCATAACATAAGAAAAAATGTGAAAGGAACATAATAAATTTTCAAATGTATGTCAAGGCCTGAGTATTAGACACTTGGTAGTTTTCAGAGTCTCTTTGGACCTCTGCTCTGAACAAGCAGAGAACCTTTTATGAGCCCTAAAATTTCACACATAGATTCTTTCATTCTTGCCATAAGATCAAATCACTCAGATAACCCAGGCAGCCAAATAGAACATTATGTACATCTAACAAAAACCAAAAAGTTTAAATCCTTTGGATTTTGAAAATAAAAGAATTATAAGGAATTTATTTTTAACATTGAGTTCTTCCAAAGTGATAATGTATGGACCAGATTAATAAATTCAATTCTGTCCCCTCAGACATGTGGTGCAATCAGAAATAGGTGAGGGAGAATTTGGATGACTAGTAAATCAGCAGGGTATATTTTTTTCATAGATATGTTTCTTATCAGGTGTTTCTGACAGGCACCTCAGGTGATATTCTAGTTGCATCAGTGTGACCAAATTAATTTATTTTTAATACAGGAGGTTAAGTAAAAGGAGAACTTATCCTGAAGTATTATTCATTTTCTGTACCTTATTTACGCAATACTGTGCCTATCAGGTTAAAAAAATATTTTACTTCTACACATAATACAGATACTTTTTATAGCCCTGCATTTACATTATGAATATATAAAATTTTGCTCTTTGGAACTGTGCAGTTTTGAGCTTAAAGAACTCTTCAACTATTGGCTAAAACTGGACCAACTATCTCAATTTTTTACTATTCAATGTATTCTGCTGGTTTATGCTCAACTATCTTCTTTATACTCATTTAAATAAAAGTATGTCTCACAGACAAAATGGAACTAGCACAGGGAACAAAATTCCAGCATGAAGTTGTTTAAAGAAGGTATCTGGAAAATACTTTATGTTTTTTAAAGGAACCATGTGAAAAATACTTTATTTTCAATATATTTATCATATGGAAAATGGCCTGCACCTCATGTTACTTAATTTCCTTGATTATTCTCAACAGTTATCTATTATAATCAACCATTGTTTCACCAGCTGGTTAGTTCCTGATTTATTTTTCTCAGCAATAATATGCAAGAGTGAAGCAGAGAGAAATGTTAATAAGGAATAAAGTGAAATGAGTGAAAAAATGAGTGAAGTGAAAAATCTAAGTACCATAGTAAAGTTATATGTAAAATATTAGCTTTTTTTCTAAACAAATAAATACTGTCAATTTCTTTCAGGTTCAGCTGTTTTTATTTCAACAGATTATTAAAATCTAAATTTAGCTTGCATGCTAACAACTGATTAGAGAAAAATAAAATTTTATAGTTTACAATACAGGATAAGAAATAGGTTCTACCACAGCAGTTATTATTAGAAAATGGCAGCAATCTAAGATGAGTAACAGCCCAGAAGCTACTCTCAATACCATACAGAAAAAGAAATCAAAGATGATGCTATCTAGAAGAGACAGGTAACAAACCAGATTGTCTACACACAGTCCACTCTCATACCATAATGTTCCTACTGATCTGATCCGCCAAAAGCACTGACTATGGGCAAACAGAGGTAGTAGTTAAAGTGCCATAAAGCAGCAATCACCTGGAATATGCTCTAATAATTTATCAAAATCCACTATTGAAGACAGTTTAACTGTCAGAGAAAAAAAAAAAAAAACAAAAAAAAAAAAAAAAAAACACCCCCAAAATCACAAAACGGTGGTTAGGTTTCGGTTTTAAGAGGAGTGTGTCATGAACTTCAAAGAAAACTGAAAGAAAGATGAATTATACAACATAGAAGTAAATATCTTAAGTCAGTTTTTAAATCACCAGGCAAAAAAAACACCTTTAGAAAATGTGCTGAAGTTTGGAAGAGATTACCTGTTTTACACATACCCAATGAGAGGAAGTTCTGTTCTCTCCGAGCAAGTACATAAGAGAAGGGAAGCAAAAAGGAAGGCTGTCTAGAACACCTAAGCTACTCCACAAGTTTATTTTCAAGAAAGGGACACTAATCACAGTAGAAATTAACAGAAAAGGACTGTCGTAGAATAGTGGGCTAGAAACAATTGGATCCTACCTTTGAAGATATTAATCTGTTTCTCAAAGCCAAAAAAAAAAAAAAAAAAAAGAACAGGAATAATTAGTGGCTTTGGCTAATAAAGCTAAAATTATGTTTGCAAGTTTTAAAAGGAACAGACAAGAATGATGACCAATTTTTTTCCTTTATCTACCCCACCCGCCAAGCGAATAGATTAGGAAAAAGTGTTTTCTTATGGGTTTTTGTTTTTTTTTTTTTGTTTTTTTTTTTTTTTAACTCAGGAATACAGTCTAAAACTGAGAAGAGCCAGTTTGCAGAATCTGTGATTTTTTACTTTTGTTGGCAAATTTGCAGGGCCCACTAAAGATATTATCAAGAGAAACACTTTTCCACCTAAATGCAAGTCACGTGTCCATGCTCTGGTGCCTCAGCATATGAAAAATATTTTGCAGAATCTGAAATGGATTGAAGTGAAATAAATTCCATAAAAATATTCCTCAAGTTACAGTAAGATTGAAATACATTGAAATTAATCCCTTAAATTCCTAGATGCAACTTCCATCTGTTTCACCATCTTCCTCTAAAGGTCAAAATAATTTAACTAAAACCTAAAATGTACTCTTCCATTTCACTTACACCAATATAACCTAATTGCTTTACTATAGTAAGAGCCTAAAAGCAACTCCCAGATTTCATATAAAAGATTTTATTCCCTAAAGCAAATTACTTATAAGACTTACAGTAGCACTTTTTTTGAATTAGAAGCATGTTGACTAACAGTACTCCATTTAAACTATTCTAACTTCATAGTTAAAAGGCTTTGGGTTTTAGGTTTACAAATTCCTCTCCCTCCCTAAAGGGGTAGTCATCTTTTCACTGATCAAAAGGTGATCCAATGATGAAGAGAATTTTTTCCATTAGTAAAACTGTTGGTATTAATACTTTTTCTACAATATACTTTCAATAATGCTTCTGAATGAAAATGGCAGCTTTGTCAAATTATGCCTGGATAAATAATCCTAGTCTTACAGAAACACTTAAGAAATAGAAACAAAAATCCTTGTTTATACCACCCAGTAGGCAGTATTTTTTATGAATGTTGAAAAACTTTCCTCAAACACACTATTGTAACAATATATATCTTACAGGCATCATGCCATCCACAAGAACCGAAGTGATCAGGACAAAATTCTGCCCCATTTTGATCTGTAACAAAACTGTTCCTGTGTGTGATTCTGGACAGACAAATTAAGCTAGGTAATGGAATTAAATATTTCAGAACACTTACATATTTGTGAATGCTCATCATAAGTCTGCAGTCCTCATAAGTTTCAAAAGAGCACAATAAATGAGGAACTGCAAAGCAATTATAAACTAGAACAAAGACTGGAGTTAAGACAGCTACTTTCACGAGAGCTATATTCATTGCATTTGGAAGTTCAAGGTGCACATCTTCTCTTTCAGAAGGACCAGAGGCCCTTCACCCCTCCATGAGCTGTGTGCCTGGCCACACCCCAGCTCCCTACCAGTATGACCATAGGGAAACTGCTCAGGAGCAAAATCAAAAATCTTCTTGTAAGAACCAACGCAAGAAGAAACCTAAAGCAATGGCAGTGCTAAACTTTAGACAGCAATTTGACTTCCAAATGAATTAAAATCGTAAGTTTGAATTTGTTTGAATTACAGACAAGTTCCAGCCACAGAAGAAATGTAATGGTTTGACCAGTTTTTCCATGCTCCATTGACAAGCATATGACAAAACTACAAAAAGTTATGTTTCTTTTCAAAGACTTATAAAGCATCCAACCAGTAACATTTTTCAATTTCCAGATTTAGAAGGTGTCAGTTATGAATAGTGCACAATGCAGATAACAAAACTGCAGTGTGCGAATTAGAGCCTTTCCTAGAATATCTGTAATTTGAGCATTTAACTCAGACACACCACTGTAGTTCATTAAAGAAATGCTGCCTGATGTGCGTACATGACCTAAATATAAATGAGTCCAATCTAATAACAGAAGAAAAACCTACTCAATAACAGCAACTGAGTCATAGGAGATTAAGTTTTACCTTAAAATCTTACATTCAAGACTCCTGTACCAAAGTCACACTCAGTTATCCCCCCAAAAATTCACTGAGAAGTAGCATCATACCATTCACAATGCAGCAATGGGAATCTATGTCCACTAATGTTATTAACATTATATTACAATCTAGGGTATTTTCATTAGGCTTAATCCCTTATTGGCAGTTCCGCTGGGTGGGTGTTGTTGGTGTTCCTAAGGGGGAAAAAAAAACAAAACAAAACAAAACAAAACAAAACAAAACAAAATAAAACCCCCAAACCACACATGTCCAGTATTTGTTTTGCTTAAATTCTAAGGAACATTTGCCAAAAGTCAGAAAGTTTTTAATACGATGAAGACCAAACAGGCAGAAAAGAACGTAACACTTTCAAAAGAGGCTAGAAAATTCTACTTCAGGTTTTTCTATTGCTGCAATGCAAAATACTTATACAGGGGAGAAAAAAAAATGCTGATTTCATTGTATATGTTCTAACAACATAGACAACAGGCAAAAATTTTCTACAAAAATCAGTTTTCAATTTTGCAAACCAATAATTCACTATGAAGTTCAATGCATTAATTAAACAAAACCAAATTTCAAGTGACAAAGTGAAAACTCACAGTATTTACAGTCATCTTTCTCACAATCTTATAGGTTGTTTTATTTAATTGTTCAAGTTCTCCTTATTTTGTCAGCTGGCTGCAGCTGAAAAAGAAACCAGATTTCCATGATACTCATCCTCACAAAAACACTTCCTTCTGGCTGGTCAGAAAGCAAGTATCTATTAGACACACTTAAAATTTTTATTTTACATATTACAACTCACCTGCTTGGGAAGCCGGAAGAGAGAATTTTTGTAAAATATATCTTTAGCCTGACTCCATGTTCCATCGATGATGATAATAACAGATGGACTAGAAGACATCACAGCAACATCTTCCAAATTGGTTGCTTCAGCTCCAGGATATAAAATGAGTGTACTGGGATTTCTGCACACAGCTGCTAATTCAGGATACCTTCAATTCACAGACAGACAAAATGACAATAATTATTAAAAGTTTTCACAACAAATACATACTTCCAGATATTCCAAGTTACTAACTCCCACTCAACTTCTCCAAATTTTACTTAAGTACCAATAAACAGTCTACCACTCAGCTATCACTTCCCAGCACCTCAAAAGTTGTTGGTTCTCCCTCAGCTCCTAAGGGGGGAGGAAAAAGCCACCCACAAAAGTAATCAGTGGAAGCTTGATAAAGAAATATATCAGGAATATTTTTTGATTCTTTAATCACTAAGTCTCTAATGTCTACTTGAACCAAAATGTTTTTAATTGTTTACCAAAATTTAACATATGCATTCTAACAAAACTTAGCACAAAAATACTACAATCATCCCATTTTGATTCTTGTATATATAAAGGACATCAGCAATTCATGGTCCACATCTACAGAACATTTTTGAAAATTTGACTATCTCAGGTTTTTTGGCATTTTTGTTTGTTTGTTTGTTTGAGATTTTGTTTTGTTTTGTTTTGTTTTAATTACAACTTCTACAACTACAGTTCCCAAACTTGTACATTCTCTTCTTCCTTCCTGTTGACTTCTACATTTGGCAATGGTACCAGAATAATAACTACTGTCTATTAAGAGTTCACTTAATGTACATAGAAATTCCTAAACTTTTTGCAGATCACCATTGTCAGTTGGTTTATAAAAATCTATGAAAGGAACTGTCATTTAAGTAGTATTGGAAGCCTCAAAAACTACCTAGTCAAGTAGACTGATAAGGGAGAATCTGAGAAAAAGCTGGCCTTGTAACGAACACTGCATTACTTGTCTGGAATTAGTTCCAGCAGTATCATCACATGGTCTTCAGAATCACTTCAATCAGAAAGCAGGAAGGAATACAAAGCAAGGGCTGACTGTCTGAAGCACGTGACAAAGAATAAGAAACCAATTGTGCATAGTACCTCAGAGGCTATAAAGAGTAACTGACATGGTAGGAAGACAAGAATAATACATAGTTGAAATAGTGTGTGACTATTTGTGTTCTGAAGTGGAAAGGGAAGACAGTACAGCTTATCAGAGACAATAAGGTGTATCTGAACGAGGTTAACAATAGCCAGTATACAAAGTGAGTTCTCCACATTACCTATCAAGAACTACATAGAATCATGAACACAGACACAGGCAGGATGTAGATATCTAAGTTCACACAGAGAAATTCCTAATGATAGTCTGTGACCCCGCAGCTTTTTGAGCCCGACACCTGCTCCACCCCTCCAAAAAATTAAGCAAGAATCTCTTTCCTAAAGAGGGGGGAGAGGGGAAAGAAAGAAAAAAAAATGGTTAGGGAAGAAATAAATGGTCAATAATGGGTTTTGAGTTGATATATACTAGGTGTACTTCAAATCTGTGCGCTCCATTATCACTCTCTGGGGATATATGTGAAAACACAATTTTTATCAGTGTTAGAATCAGGCAGAATTGCAGTTCCCAAGACATTGAGATCCTGAGCCTAAGTCTGATATAGGACCATATGGGAAATATCTGAAATGAAAGAGGAACTGAATTCAGTGTACCAATACGTCCAGAACTAGTATTCCAAAATTTGACCATCCTCACCCCTAAAAGCAAACAGTCCAGACTGATTCAACAATAAGTCAACATCTTTACTAAAAAAAAAGAATAATGATATTTTCTTCCAAAACGAACAGTCAAAGTCTGTGGAAAATAGAACTACATGGAAATTTCTCTGCCCACTGTATTTTTAAACTTACTTACATTATGGTGATTTCGTATCACTTTAGTTTAACCAAGAATCATGCTACATAAAATCAAAAGCAAGAGGAGGTATCCCACTACAGGCTACCTAGCACTTGAAGTTTAAATCTAGAAAATCAGTCATTATTTTCAAATGTTTGTCTTGAGAACCAAACTCCTTGAAGAGCAAAGTATCTTAATTCTGAGATAGCAGAGCTTTCAAAACATTAACATCTTTTCAACGGTTAAAAAAAAAAAAAAAAAAAAAAAAACAACAAACAATTCTTAAACTATTCCAAAAACATAATGACTATGAAGCACTACAAGTTCATATTATGAACACTACAACTGAAGTCTTTGTCTCTGAAATATGATTCAGATGAAAACAACAGTTTTCAAATGCATACTCATCCAAGAATTCCACTTATTTCAGTTTACAAGTTTATATGCAAAAGCAATGGCAGCAGAGTGGTTCAAACAAATTTTGTAAATTTGTCCCATAAATTTAACCTAGGATTTGAGGGCTGATTATGCAAACACTGCCATAAGAATTCGTAACACTTTACAAGCTAGTAGGTGTTGCTTCTATCTTCAAAGAGTTTACTATCCACAGACTTAATCCTAGAGTGACACTGAGCACATGCACAGAGCTATTTAGTACTCTTTCGTCTCACAGAAGCAGGTTCTCAGAAATATATGATGCACAACCCCTTCAAGGATATGGTCCACACTGATAGTCTCAGTCCATGTTAGCAGCTTTATTAAAACATGTCTTCCATTTATAAAATGAGCTCGTTCTTCCTTCCTTAATACAGCACAAGAGGAATGAACTAAATATAAGCAACTAATGGTTTGCTTAGAAAGGGATACAGTTTGTATAAAGTAAGCTTCCTGTTAGTTTGTTGTTGATACATAGTGCAAATTAGACTTCTTCTACTCACATACTACCACCATTAAGAATTTGTCCCCCAAACTCCTTCAACTGCATTGAATTAGATATGTGAAAAAAATTAAAAGGCTCAGTAAAAGACTGAATTTATATCTGGTAAATGAAATTAGTTTGTTACCTAAAGAAATTGATGTATCATTCAAAAGGCAAGTACATATCAACAGTATCACTTCTCACAGCCATCTTGCAAGAATATGTTTGTGACATGGTTGCTTTGGGTAAGCACTGTAATACAGTGTATTTTATCACGCATTACTTCTGACACACTGCCATAGGGCAGGATTTTCTCTAAAAGAGTCAGATGTTTTTAAAGGAAACATATAGGAAACAATTCTGATAAATTAGCCATTTCACTGTAATGCTGAAATAGAGGTGTTGCCTGCTGAGCTCTTTTGAAAACCTGATTCACACTCTACGGCACAACTGTTTGTTCCATTTAAGCTTTCACTTGTATGCTTAAGCATACTACAGCATATAAGTAAAAGGACTAGGAATTAGACTTCATATTCACAGTGCTTTGCATCTAAAAGTAAGTGCATACAACGTTACTATAAAAACACAAACAATGTTAATATTGATTTTTTTTTAATACCAATAATTTATTCCATTGTTTAAGTACAAGAGTGATTTGAGACAAACAGTACGGCTTATTAAAAATACAGGAGACAATTTCATTAAGGCTGATGTTTGTTTTCCTGACGACTCATAAAATAGTAAATATAACACACCAGTTTTGAAACTCTCCTCAGAGCCACAACAGAAGCTCCTTGCTCAGTCCTGTGCTACCCAAGAAAATGTCTTTTTGCTTTTTATCCCCGTCTAAATTTCCCCTGCAAAACAAGGGTGGAGTAAAAAACTCAGTACCAACTCAGCTGGCAGTCCAGACTGCCTTGTTTAGAATGATTAGACAGAAATTTCAGGCCACACACTAGATCACTGTACTGGGAGGTAGGTAACTTCCTAGCAAGACACATCGCTGATCCCAAGCCCTCCAAGTTGCCAAAAGCTGAGAGAGGGTCTCATCAGAATTGGATCTCATCAGACTTGTAGCTACAATCCTGTGAACTCTTTATTCTTTGGGGTGGTTTTTGTTTCTTTTAAATTCAATCTGCTTTTATTTAAATTCAGGAACACGATTTTGTAGTCCAGCTAGACCTGTATATGTGGGGACGTTACACCCAACAGAAACACTGATGTATGTTAGGAACAGGAGGTGAAGTTAGGATAAGCACAAGCAGTCACACCAGAATAAGCTAGTCAAGCTACTGAAAAAAGAGTTGATTATGATGATGGAAGAACTTCACACAGCAGCTGCCCACAGTCACAAACATGGTCTTGCTTTTCTTGCCATCTTGTGACATACAGTAGTACACATATTCATAGCATTTATAACTTCATACATGGGAAAAAGAGTGTGAAGAGCAGTGTGGTTGCTGGTCAGTGCTGGAGACTACTGTGTTACATCTTATTCCACATCATAGTCCTAGATCTTTACATAATGCTTTTGTAGAAGCCTTTCTTAGTGTGAAGCATGACTAACTTCAGAGGATTAAGGGTGACTTTAATTTTACCTTCCATTTCAGTCAGAACAGGCATACTGATGGCAGATGCTTTGAAGCCACCAAGTTTCAAGGGGAGACTGAGAAGCTGAATTTCTAAACAAGTACTTCCCTTCCTACAGATCAGAGGTTGACTTTTAAAGAATTCACAACTCTGTGTCAGTCAGGGAAAAAAAGAAAGATTAACATTACTACATATGAAAAAAATCTCTTAAACAGTCTGCTCATCCTTTCTCAGAGATGCTACAAAAGAATGGTTATAAACTCCTAACTGACAATGAGAACTTACTTCTTAATTTAGATACTGTAGTGTATTACTAGACGTAGTAGGCTTTAGTTACTTTGTTTTGCATGCTACTTCACAAACAAGTTTTTCTCACTCAAGAGTGGACCAGGTAAAGAATTTCAAATACAAAATTGTTGTATGTTAATATTAATGAAGATAATCAATTAAGCAAATTCTTCATTTAATTTACATCACATGTATTCACGCACTACTAAGAGCAGTTATCAAAAGCTTCTTGTAGATTTGTTATGATTAGGACTTTGAAGCCATGAATCTCAATCCTTAAGTAAAAATCTCAAAAGCATATATTGTAGCAAATCTCTGATGAACTTACAAATATACATTCACTCATTCATATATATATATAAAAATAAAACAAGGGAAAAAGACGTGCAGCTCTGTAACATTCCACCCCACCAAGGCAATTGTTTAACCGAATTCTTAATTGTCACGGGGA